CTTCTTTGTCGTCCCCCTCCTTCATCAAATTTCATCCTCGTCCTCATCCTCCTCCCGGCCCTGGCCCCCTCCGTCCACCTCGTTTCATGCTCCTGCTGCTGCTCCCCCATCCTTCATCTCTTTCGCCACCTGCTGCTCCTCACTCCTGGTTCTACTGGTTTCCCCTTCTCTGTTCCACCCCCCCTTCACTCCTCCTCGTGCTCGTTGTCTTCCTGGTGTCCCTTCATCCTGCTGCTGATGATTCCCCTTCTTGAACTCCTCCTCCGCCTCGTGCTTTTCCTTCCGCTCCTCTTCCCCGCTGTCCTCAGCCCCTTCCTCTTGCTCCTCCTCCTCCTCCTCTTCCTCCTCCTCGCTTCGCGCTCCTCGTCATCATGCTCCGTTCCCTGCTCGTGCTGCCGCTGGTCTCCCTGATGTTTTTTCTGCTGCGCCTGCTCCTGGCCATGGCTCCCTCTCTGCTGCGGCCCCGATGCCCGCGAGAGCTCTCTTGCGGCTCCTGCTCCTGCTCTTGATGACAGGGGGTTAACACAAACGTTTGACGGCCCCAGCCCGATCCACACGATTCCCCCCGTCGAGCCGCAGACAAACGGAGTCGCCTGCGCCGACACCCGCGCTCAAGCTGCCTGCGTCAGTCGTGTGCACGCGCCCTGGTTTCCGATGTGGCCTGCCGCACTGGCGGCCCGCGGAAACCGCGGCGCAAGGGCGCTGTGTTTTCTTGCGTGAGGCCAGTTTCTTGTCGTCGCTCAATTGACTTTCAGACGGCTTGATCGGCTTGAGCGCTATGCCGCGCTGAACCTCGTCCTCCTCCTCCTCCTCCTCCTCCTCCTCCTCCTCCTCCTCTTCCTTCTCCTCCTCTTCCTATTCCGCCCATCCTGAGTCCACTGCTGCTCTTCCTATTCCGCCCAACAGGCGACGTGCGGCCCAGACATGGGCGACGCCGCGGAGATCTGGGTGGAGGAGCCGCCGATGGCTCGAGAAGGTCGCCCCCCCCCTCTTGCGGGGGAGCGGCAACAGAAGAGCCCCCCCCCCCACAGCCGCGAGGGGCTCCCTCACCTCGGCGGGCCTCCATGCGCTCAGGGGGGCGTTGAGGTTCTAGGGCTTTGGTGACGTCTCTGTGGGTCCTCGCCCGGCTGTTCCAGTCCCAGTGCCAGTACCCCGACCCCCGACGTCGCGATTCTCTCGCAGCGCCGACCCCCAGAGGTCTTCCACCCCGAGTCGCTTTGTGGACGGCCCCGAGAGCGGGGAAAGGGACCCCGAGAGCCGAAGCGGGGGGAAAGCTTCCCGTCGCGAGCCTTTCACAGCGCAAGTGGGGCCTGGGGGATGCTCTCCGGCGGCAGCCGCGCCTCGCCGAGAGCGCTCCGCGGGGGGGGCCCCGCTCGCCCCGAGCGGCCGCCGCGGAGCCTTTTGCCGCGGGCGCCCGGAGAGCACCGCGCAGGGCCAGGCCCCTGCGGGGCCCAAGGGCTCGCCGAGGCCCTGACGGGGGGAGCCCACGTCGCCCTCGGCGGCCTCTTTCGGCCCTGGGACACGCCTGGGGCGGCCCTGGCCCAGGAGCCCCTCGGGGCGTCACAAGTCGGCCAGGCCCGGGGCTCGCCGAGGCCCTGGTGTGGGGAGCCCACGTCGTCCTCGGCGGCCTCGTTGAGGCCTGGGGCACGCCTGCGGCGGCCAAGACGGAGAGCCCCCCGAGGCATTGCGAGAGCACGACGGAAGGCGCTTCGCTGCGTTCGGCCAGGGCCGGGGCTCGCCGAGGCCATGAGGGGGGGAGCCCACGACGTCGTCCTCGGCGGCCTCTTGAAGCCTGGGGCACGCTTGGGGAGAGCCCCTCCAGGCATTGAAAGCCACGACGGAAGGTTTCTCGCTATTGTGCGGCCCCTGGGGGCCCTCGCTAGGCCCCGTGGCCGTCAAAGAAGGACTCGGTAGGAAAAGCTGGTCCAGGGGGATGGGCCGGGGCTTCTGGTGGTCGACGTCATGCCATGACATCGGGGGCGGCCAACGGGGGGGTGATGACCAGACCATGAGGTAGTTGTTCTACCCGTGGAGACGACGGGCGTGACGGGGACTGAGGCCAGGGGGGGAGGGGGCCGGTCGTCTCGCGGTTCGCGCCGGCGACGTCTTGGGATGCCTACGACTAGCCCATTCCCAGACAGCGCTTGCGCCATTCGAGTCGTGGCGTGGCCAGGGAGGAGAAGGGGGGGGGGACGGAGGGGCCGGGCACGGGCGTTATCGCGAATAAGCAACAGGACCTTGAGATGATTATGCTGCTGCTGCTCCTGATGATGATGATGATGATGATGATGATGATGATGATGATGATGATGATGATGATGATGATGATGATGATGGTGATGGTGATGGTGATGATGATGCTGATGATGATGCTGATGATGATGATGATGATGGTAATGGTGATGATGATGATGATGATGATGATGATGATGATGGTGATGATGATGATGATGATGGTGGTGGTGGTGGTGCTGATGATGCTGATGATGATGGTGATGATGATGATGCCGATGATGATCATGATGATGATACTGGTGATGCTTATGATTATGATGCTGATGATGATGCTGATGATGATGATGCTGATGATGCTGATGATGCTGATGATGCTGATGGTGCTGATGATCATGTTGATGATGATGATGATGCTGATGATGATGATGCTGATGATGATGATGCTGATGATGATGATGGTGATGATGATGATGATGATGATGATGATGATGATGCTGATGATGATGATGATGATGATGGTGATGATGATGCTGCTGATGATGATGCTGCTGCTGCTGATGATGATGATGATGATGATGATGATGATGATGATGATGATGATGGTGATGGGGATGCCGGGTGATGCTGCTAGGGTGGGGGGTCATCATGGCTGGTGCTAGGGTATCTCCGCGGATTTCAGGGCCCCCTCTTCTTGCTCCAGAGCGTCGCCTGGCCCGCGCCCCTGGGCAGCGCGCACGTGCCGGCTCGGGGCCTGGGCGTGCGCCTCCCCCCCTCCTCCTCCTCCTCCTCCTCCTCCTCCTCCTCCTCCTCCTCCTCCTCCTCCTCCTCCTCCTCCTCCTCCTCTCCTCCTCCTCCCCTCCTCCTCCTCCTCCTCCTCCTCCTCCTCCTCCTCCCCCCTCCTCCCCCTCCTCCCCCTCCTGCCCCCTCCCCTCCTCCTCCTCCTCCTCCTCCTCCTCCTCCTCCTCCTCCTTCTTGGACGCCCCCCCCCCCTCCCCCTGGACGCTCCTGGACCTGGCCAGGCCCCTCGCCGCTCTGTCTCCTCGCGCCCGCCCTCTGTCCGTTCCCTAGGACGGGCGGCCGCTCCCTCCCCAGGCGTGATCGCGTCGCAAAATCTCCCCAATTTTCCAAGTTCCCCGGGACGGCAAGTTTTTCCCAGTTTTCCAAAATAATCGGGACGGCAAGTTTTCCCCAATTTTCCGCCCCTGGGGGCCCTCGCTGGTCCCCGGGAGCTTCAGAGAACGACTCAGGATGAAAGACTGGCCCCAGGGAAAGCGTCGGGATTTCCGGGGGCGCCGTACGGAAAAAGGCAGGACGTCGTATGTCTGGCTGGGTCCCCTTCTCCCGCATCGGTGCCAATGTTGCCCTCGCGTAGCCTGCCCAGGCCGACTCGTGCGATCGCCGAGTCCGCGACAACGACTGCTGATCTGGGCGTCCCGTGGAGTGGCGCCGCCCGCTCCGCCAGTACGGAGAGCGTCGCCACTTGGCCGGCCGCCTGTGAATACATGCGGCCGTCGCGCCCTGCGCACGGCTCTGCTCGGGGGAAGCCTGAGGCCGCAGCACTGCTGACGGAGGGCTGCATGTTGCGCGGGTTTGGTCGAGAGGGATGCCAGTTTCTCGGGTTCAGAGCTGTGGGAACCCATCGGCTCCTATTTGTGCGAGACATGTCTAGATGCGGTTCGATTTGAGCAGGCGCGTGTGGGCGCTCATGGAAGTCTCCGCCGAGCTCAGTCATTTCCGGGGCGCCCGAACTGGCTTTTGAACAAGAAACGCGCCGATTTCAAAGCAGGTTTGGGGCTCCGGATTGGTGTGCCCTGCTTTCGGCACCCCGACTGTTGCAGAATCGGCGATCTCATTCCCGCGCGCACGTGTCATGCTGCGCCGGCTAAACAAGGTCAACATGTCTGCTGGCCTCGCACCGCGTTTCCGACCGCAGCGTGCAATCACGAGCGACATCAGCGCGAACACGTGGGTCCGTAGCCCTCGGGTCAAGGAGAGCTCGTCCTCCTCCTCCTCCTCCTCCTCCTCCTTCTGTTACTGTTCCTCCTCCTCCTCCTCCTCCTCCTCCTCATCCTGCTCTTCCTCCTCCTAATTTTTCTGCTCCTCCTCCCTTTCCTCCTCCTCCGCCTCCTCCTCCTGTTCCTCCTCCTCCTCCTCCTCCTCCTCCTCTTTCTGTGCTCGCAGCCCCCGCGAGCATCAGATGCGGCGCTGGGTCTTCCTTCTGGTGGTGCTCGCGTCCGCAGGCGCGGGCCTGGTCGGCTGGCGGCTCGCCACGCGCAGCGACGACCTGTACGGCGCTGCACTGCGCTCGCAGAGGGCGCAGGCACAGAGCGCCTCCGGCATCTCTAGGCTCGGCCTGGCCTCGCTGACGCTGGAGATAGGGGGACGAAAGCTTACGCACACATCAAAACTCGGAGGTCCGCGCGGACCTCCGAGTTTCTATGTTTATGCCTTTTTCGTTCCCCTAGGAGAAGGCCCGCGACATGGGCCTCCCCAGCTGGCGAAGCATGATGGGCCGATTCTCCGCCACCACTGCCGTAGGTAGGACGAGGGAGAAGGGAGGAGTGGGAGGTCGTCGTCGTCCTCCTCCTCCTCCTCATCCTCGTTCTCCTCCTGCCTCCCCCTCCTCCTCCTCCTCCTCCTCCTCCTCCTCCTCCTCCTCCTCCTCCTCCTCCTCCTCCTCCTCCTCCCTCCTCCACCTCCTCCACCTCCCTCCTCCTTCCTCTCCTGCCTGTGGCAGTGGTGGCGGCAAATCGGCCCATCAAACCAGCCCCGAGGACGCGGGGCGCTCCGAGCCCTCCGCTCCGGCGGCGAGCGCCGAGGCGGTCCTGCAGCGGGCGGGGGAGGCCAGGACGCAGGGCCCGCCCGACGACGCCGCCGACGCACCGCCGCACACGGCCGCGCCGCCGGCCGCGCCGGCGGAGCCCGCGGCGGCAGAGGGCGCCGCGGGCGCCGAGGAGCGCCCCCCCAGCGGCAGCGCTCCTCGGCCCGCGGGGGCGGCGCCCCGCGGCGGCGGCGGCGAGGCAGTGGCCAGCCTTAATTACGCCGGGCCTGCCCCATCTACAGGGGGAGCCATCGAAAGGAATCCAAAAAACAGTCGGGGGACGCTTCCTGCGTTATTCTTTGTTTCCCAGTGATGTTGTTTGAGCATCTGTGGCCTAGTTTTCCTATACCTTTCCTCCAGAGCCCGCCCGTGGGGGGGGGCATGCCCGGCCCCCTCCCACCCCGCCCGCAGAGCCCGCCGCGCCCGCCGGCGGCGGCCCCGGGCCGCCGGCGGGGCCCGTGGGGGGCGGCGCCGCGGGCGGCTCGGCGGCGGCGGCGCCGCCGGCGGCGGGCGGCGCGGCCGAGGAGGCCGCCCGCGCTTCCGGCGGGGGGAGCCTCTCCATAGTCGGGAGCGGAAAAGAGGGGGGTGATGACTAGGGGGGGTGGATATCATGGCGCGGGCCATACGATATGTCCCAAGGTTTCATGGCGCCTCTTCTTATTTCATTACGTCCCTGGCCCCCCCGCTGGGCCGCGCACATGCCGCCGGTCATGATTTGCACCCCCCCTCTTGGACACCCCCCTCTTGGCCGCTCCCGACATAGGCAGCCGAAAAACGACATAAACATAGAAACTCGAAGGTCCGCGCGGATTTTTTGGACCTGCGCTGGGCCCCCCTCCCTGGCGCGCGGAGCGCGCCAGGGGCGGCGCCGGAGGCGCCGCCAGGGGTCCCCAGCGCCGATCCGAGAAATCCGCGCGGACCCCCGAGTTTTTATGTTTATGTCATTGTTCGTGTCCCTACTCCAGCCGGTCTGGCAGGGAGGGCGGGCGGAGGTTCAGGTACAACGCGGTGGACGCGGGGGGGCCCTGGCCTGGGCAGAACACGCTGTCGGAGCTCCTCCTCCAGGAGCTGCCCGACGATCTGCTGCCGGTGCACGGCGATTGCGACATCTTCGTGCACACGGGCTGGGTCATCTCGCTACCGATGCTGGCAAAGGTGGAGGCGGCGCTCAAGCAGCGCGGCCTGAACAATTCTCGGGTCTGGCTCCTGATCAACCAGGAGTATCCTTCAAACGATCTTGTGAGGAGAAAGTTGAAACATATCTACGTGGACAAGGCCGTGATACTGGGCAACTGGTGGAATGGTACTATTCAGGAGCTCTTTGAGGAGGACCTGGCCTCGCTCTGGGTGCCCTTCGCCAGCACGGTCTTCGCCGACAGAAAGCTTTCGACGCCGCTCGACCTTCTAGATAGAAGGAGGACTGGCGATCAGCTGCAGAAGTATGCCATCAATTGGCCTGGACGTCAAGGAACTGAGCGCAGCACGATTGCTTATCAGCAGAAGTCCTGCTTTACGAACAAGCAGGTCGATGCCGAGGCCAGCAAGAAAGGATGGCTGAATTTTCGGCAGAAATTCTGGGACCGCGTCAACGAGTTGATGGCTCAGCGGGGGACTCACGGCTACGCCATCGGCGAGTGCAATGGGGAAAAGAAGTTGGGGCATCGGGCGAGGCCAATCTACCAGGCGTACGACCAGGCGAACGTGGACTCCCTGAGGCATGAGATGCCAGACTTTATTGCGAAAGTGTTGACGAACGTTTCAGTGTACGAGTCACAGCACAAGATGACTTGGCAGACGTTTCCAGCGTTTACAAAGTATGACGAGTCCGTTTTGAAATATTCGCACTTCAGGTTCGTTGTGTCTCTAGAGAACACACTGAGCAGGGTAGGTTACATAACGGAGAAGGTGATGGACTCGTTATTGGGTGGCGCAATCCCAGTCTACGCTGGGTGCAAGCATGCGGCAGATGTCATCGACCCGGCAAGTTATTTGCTACTCAAGCCAGGAGAGAACGACCAGCAGGTCGCTGGGCAGATTGTGAAGGCACTGCTGGATCCACTCGAGTACAATAAGTTGATGGTGGAGAAGGCCCTCAGCGAGGATCAGCTCAAGCGCTTCTTTTCCTGGCACCCGGCCGTGTGGCCCAAGTTTGGCGATTCCTTAAGACGCCGGATCGTGGCTGAGCTGCAGAGACTGTGCGCACGAGGCAGGTAACATCGACAGCAAGGCTAATTTCTTGACGCTGCGCGTATCCCCACCAGCCCGCCTAGAAACAATCGCCAGGCGAGTTGCCCTGATCACGGATGTGTAGGAGCATCCGGTGGAACGGACAGGTGAGCCAGCCGTCAAGACACGACTTCCTCCTCCTCCTCCTCTTCCTCCTCCTCCTCCTCCTCCTCCTCCTCTTCCAATTCTCTTGGGGCCTCCCGGCCTTCCCGGGCGGCCCTCGGGGCGCTCCTGGGCCGTGCCGGGGCCTTCCTGGGCCCCTTTCCCGAGGGCTCCCCTCGGGCGCTCCTGGAGCCAGCTCGGGGCCGCAGAGGCTCAGAGCCCCCCGAATCATCAGGGGTAACTCGGGTCAGGGCTAACTCGGGTTCCTTTTTCGGGAATCCAAACCCGAGTTACCCCGGGCCCAGTTACCCCGGATAACTCGGGCGTCCAGAGCCCCAAATCATCAGGGGTAACTCGGGTCAGGGCTATCTCGGGTTCCTTTTTCGGGAATCCAAGTCCGAGTTACCCTGGGCCCGAGTTACCCCGGATAACTCGGGCGCCCAAGAGGCCCCTCGGATGCGAGCGGGTGAGAAGGCACACGGCACTGATTCCCCGTACCCAGGTGCTGGAAGGATCTTGGCCTCTCGGGAGCTCAGAAGGCGAGAGCCCCCCCCCCACCCCCAGTCCCGACTCCCATCCCCGAGCCAGCGAGTCAAGGGGTCGGGACTGGGGGTGGGGGCGTTTTCTCCATTTCTTAGACCCCGAAAATCCACCCCCACCCCCAGTCCCGACCCCCTGGATCGCGGGTTCGGGGATGGGGTCGGGACTGGGGGTGTGGGGGGGGGGGGGCTTTCGCTTTCTCAAGCGTCCTTGGAGGGCTCCGTGGCTGCGTGGAGCCATCGGGGGGGCAAGCTTGGAGCCTCTTGAAGGCACGTTGGGGATCCTCTTGAGCCATGTCGGGTTCTCCTGTGCGCTCTTGGAGCCCATTTGGGGATGTCGGGGGCGATGCTTGAGCCATCTTGGGCCATCTCAGAGGCTGACCGCTCGTTCCCCCCCCCGTCCAGACCCAGGGGAGGGGGGAGGGGGAGGCGTACCCCCCCTCCCCGAAGGGGAACCAGGGGGTTGGAAGAGCCACTTCCTGCTCCCAGAGGGCTGGTGGATTACACCCGCCATAGGTTGCAGAGTGCCCTGCGGCTGGAGCGTTCTGCCTCGCACGGCGCATCCACGTCCTCGCCGACGGCCTCCTCCGTGAAGGGCGCCAGTTGCAGCACTGGCGGCCTCTGGTGGCGGCGGCTCCCATGGCTGTGCCGTCAGCGATCTCAGCGGCTTGAAGGCCCAGACGTGCTCAACAGGACCGCGGGTGCGCGCTCGGGTGCTCGGCTCTGTGCCGGTGGGCCGGGGGGGAGGCCTGGCACAGCCGCGCCAGACGTTGCGAGCTCTGGCGGTTGCCCGCCCGTTCCGCGGGCCCTCCCGGACTGCGCGGCCCCATAGCCGCTTCAGGCTCCATGGATGCGGCTACGACGGGACCTGAGGCCTGGAGCCTGTTTTTTTCCCAACCATCCTGTGGTGTTGGGTCCTCGTTTTGAAGAGACGGTGCCCCGCGTCTCTCCTCCTTCCTCCTCCCCCTCCTCCCTCCTCCCCCTCCTTCCTCCTCTCCTCCTCCCCCTCCTCCCTCCTCCCCCTCCTTGCCTTTGCTCTCGGCACACCTCTCACACGTTTCGTGGCCCCATAGGGAGCTCCACCGAAGGCCCCAGTGGCTGCTCTCGCATGCGTTTTCCCCGCCCTGGGCAGCGCTTCGTGGCCCCATAGGGAGCTCCACCGAAGGTCCCAGTGGCTGCTCTCGCATGCGTTTCCCCCGCCCTGGGCAGCGCTTCGTGGCCCCACAGGGAGCTCCACCGAAGGGCCCAGTGGCTGCTCTCGCATGCGTTTCCCTCACCCAGGGCAGCGCTTCGTGGCCCCATAGGGAGCTCCACCGAAGGCCCCAGTGGCGCAGTTCGCATGGGGTTCCCCCGCCCAGGGCAGCGCTTCGTGGCCCCATAGGCAGCTCCACCGAAGGCCCGCCCCAGTGGCTGCTCTCGCATGCGTTTCCCCCTACCCAAGGCAGCGCTTCGTGGCCCCATAGGGAGCCCCACCGAAAGCGGCACCCACAACGCGTTACGAACAATTGCTTATGGTTGGGTCCTTCGCCAGGATGTTTTTTTTTGTTTTTTTTTGGGGGGGAGCGAAAATCGGGCGTCACTGGGGGGTGGGGGGGAAGGCGGCCAGTGACGTCACGTTTCGCGCCGGCGGTGCCTGGGAATGTTTACGAATGGCCGAGGACGGGTAGGAACAGCATGTCGGTGGCGATCTGCGCCACAGCGCCTGTGTGAACCACAGTGCGTGCCTGCGTGGACCACAGCGCCTGTGTACACCACGGCGCTTGCGCACACCACATCAGCCGTGTGCAGCACAGCACCAGTGTACACCACAGTCCCTGCGTGCACCACAGCGCTTGTGTGCACCACGGCGCCTGCGTGCACCGCAGCAACCGTGTGCAAGAGAAACCATTGTTGTATACATAATGTTATAAGGAATCGTTATGACATGATGACATAATTGAGCGCTTGTGGATTCCACATGTAGTATTTCTTCCATGTAGGATTTGGAGGGAAATCATCTGGAACGAGGAGCGCTTCTGGAATCTACGAGTCCTCCCGAGTCCTCCCGCATCATCCAGATCTTGCCCGCATGCGTCCAAAGTCTCCCGCAGAGTCTGCCGTCCGAGAACCACGTGGACTGATTCAATAGACCAATTATCCAGGATGCGCACTGAGATGCGCAAGTGCGCTGCAGCGCTGACCCACGCGACAAGGGGGGAAGGGCGAGGGAGGAGGAAGGGAAGGAGGAGGAGGAGGAGGAAGAGGAGGACCAGTGTAAACCCAAGGGTCACCAACGATGTTGGAATAAGCTCTCCCCCAGGCTCCCTCTGCACACGCCCCTACAACGTCTCATTTCCACAGCGGGACCTGCCTCGTTGGAAGACAACTGTAGGATCACCCTGAAGCAGGCCAAAACATTGTTTTCGGGATTCCAGCGCGACGGATAAACCTGATTGTTGCGTCGTGACGATCCTGAATCGTCCCAGAAAGCCATTCCTGGGACTTCAGCATTGCGAATGATCGTAGCTGTTGCGCCCTCATAATCGTGAATCCTTCCAACACGCCATTTCTGGTACGTCGGTCATGAGTCATGAGAATCCGAGGAATGTTTGAAAGTTGTTAGCAAGACGGCGCGCGGCGCTAAGGCGGGATCCACATTTTGAAAAGGAACCGCCCTCGACCCGTGATCTGTTTTGCAAAATTTGCAAACGAATGTTCTTTCGGTCTTGAGACGACAGCCACAGTTTGAAGACCACCCGCCCTCAATCCGTGAAGCTCTTGCACATGTTGGAAACGAATGTGCGCGGCGCTAAGGCAATAGCCACATTTTGAAAACCATCTGCCCTCAATTCATGAAGCCTCTTGCAAATTTTGACAACGAATGTGCGTGGCGCTGAGGCGAGAGCCAAATTTTGAAAACCACCCGCCCTCAATCCGTGAAACTCTTGCAAATTTTGAAAACGGATGTGCGTGGTGCTAAGGCGAAATCCATATGTTGAAAACCACCCGCCCTCCATCTGTCAATCTGGTGCCAATTGTCAAGTTGCGGGGTCATGAATGGTGAGGGAGTCTCAGGCGAGACGCCGGGCCCGCCCTAAAAACTGTCTTCGGGGTGCGACAGGGAGAAGTCATTTATTAGGAAAGGAATGGAGGATGATGAGGTGGAGGAGGAGGAGGAGGAGGAGGAAAAGGAGGAGGAAAAGGAGGAGGAGGAGGAGGAGGAGGAGGAGGGGGAAGGGGAGGAGGAGGAGGACGACGACGAGGAGGAGGAGGAGGGAAGAAAATCGCATTCTAATATCAGCACTGCCTTTGCGTGGTGTTTAGCTGTCGCAGCAGATCCTCACCTACATGCTCCTTCTACCAGTCTTGTGCACGCAGGCGCTGTGGTGTACACCAGTGCTGCGTTGCACGCGGATGCTGTGGTGTACACAAGCGCCGTGGTGTGCACCGGCGCTGCGGTGCACGCAAGCATTGTGGTATACAAGGCGCTGTGTTGCAAACGGCTGCTGCGGTGTGCACATTCGCTGTGGTGTACACAGTCGGTGTGGTGCTCGCAAGCACTGTGGTGTACACATGCTCTGCGTTGCACACGGTTGTTGCGGTGTACACAGGCACTGTGGTGTACACGCGCGCTGTGGTGCACGCGAACACTGAGGTGTACACAGGCGCCGCGGTGCAGACCGCTACCTCCATGCTGGACGCCGCCGCCGGCATTCCTGGACGCGGCCGGCGCCGCGGAACGTGACGTCACTTGGGGGGGGCGCGGGGCTGGTGACGGCCGTTATCGCGGCCCAAAAAAACCAGGCTCCTGTTAGCGCGCAGTGCTGCCTCCCCTGGCACGCTCACGCGCAGCAGGCAACGCTGGTGCTCGTGTATTCGTTCTCTCCCTGGTCGGCCCGAGAGGAGACCTTGCAGTGCGGCAGGCCGGACGCACCAGAAGAGATTGCGGCACCTGCCACCACGCACCCCTCCCCAGGCGGGCACGCGCAGTTCAAGGCAGCGGCGTTGGCCGTCTCCTGCTCGGCTGCAGGCCGTGGGGCCGTGGAGTGATGCTCCTTGGCCTCCGCGTGGCGTTCCTGGCCGACGCACGCTGGCCGCCGTCGAGCGGCGGGCACCCCGACCGCCCGAGCTGCCAGCACTTCCCTGTCAGGCGCTCATCGTCGGACCACTCTGGCCATCGTTCGTCCTCGGACCACTTGGCAATGGTTCCTCTTGGGATTGCTCTGGCAATCACTCACCGACTGTCATTCCTCATTGCCTTCGGCCCGCTGGTGATGGGACAAACATGACGGAGAAGCCCAGTGCTGTGAGGGAGCAGCTTGGCTCAGACCTCTCCGGCCTTCCACGGTCAGCGAGTCTCTTCGTGGGCGAAAAACATATCCGCGTCCACGGCCTCGCGGGCTGGGCCTCTGGGCCACGACCCCGTGGATACGCAGCGTAGTTTCTGGAGTGCTCCGCGTGGAACGTATCCGTGCGACCGCGTATCCGCGGGATCGCGTATCCGCGGGATCGCGCCACGAAACCCAGACCGCGAGGGCTCGGGTATGGATACGTGTGCCGCACGCGATCCAAGGCAGGCGCTGACGAATGCCGTCCTTCTCCTGGCGACTGCGCGTGTTCTCGAGACGGTTCCTCGCCAGCCTGCAGCAGTGAGGGCTCGGAGGAGGCGGACCGCCGAACCAGGCTCATCGCTGCGTGGCCGACGGGGACTTGTCGTGACGTGCTGAGGGCGAGAAGCCCCCCCCCCTGGAAGCATCGGCACCTCTGCGGCAGAAGACCTTAAAAAGCCTGTGCGCACCTGCGCGGTTGGGGGCCACGTTGGGCCACCGGTCTCGGGGGCCCACAGGGAGTCTCACAGGCAAGCTGTCCGCGGAAACGCGCCGCAGGCTCCGAAGCCATCCGACGATGTGTGCCAGCTCGGGCCCCCAGCGGTGAGCCACTGCGCTCCAGACGTGCCTCCTGCACGTGGCGCAGCGCAGGCGGTGCTATAGGTTGCGCCGGAACGCGGCGAATCCCCTGTAGGGGGCCACATGCGAACCCTACCCCTACCCCCCACGATTTCTGAGGGGGGGGGATGGGGTTCACTCCATTCGGGAGCTCCCGAGCGAAGTGAACCCCACCCTCCCCCGCAGAAGTCTTGGGGGGTAGGGGTAGGGTTCGCATGCGGCCCTACTCTGGACCCCCCCACGGGCGGCAGCGGGCGGCAGTTGGCCAGAGCGTGGCGAATCCTCCGAACGCCCCGGCAGGCGGCAGCGGGCGGCAACAGGGCGGCAGCGGGCCGGCACGTGGCGAGTTCTGGGGGCAGCCCCGCAGGCGGCACGAGGGCGGCAACAGGGCGGCAGCGGGCCAGAGCGTGGCGGATCTCCAGGTCACCCATGGCCTCGGCATCCCTCGGACGTGTGCGTTTTTTCTCGGCGAGAACCATCTAGGACCATCCTGGACCATCGAGCAAAAAAACATGCACGAAACCGAAAAAAGCAAGGGAAATGGACGTCCGAGCGACGGCAAGTGGCATCCTCTATAAGCGCAGGCGGGGAGGTCAAGCGAGCGGGCACTGCCTGGGAGATGGGAGGCTCGAGGCGCCAGTCCTGGTGGTCTGTCGTGATGCCGTCGTCTCCGTCCGCGCAGCCTGCCTGGCCATGCGGGCCTGGAGCCTGCAGGGGGTGGGGGCCCCGCCCTCCCGAGAAGAGCGCCTCGGTACGCGGCGGCGGCCGTGGCCTCGGGCGGGGCCGCTTCGGGGGGCGGGCCCGGGCACGCTGGGGAGTGTGCGGCGGGGGGCCTCGGACGCGCCCGCTGAGGCCAAAGGCGCCCTTGGGGACGGGCGGGAGGGAGGAGGAGGAGGAGAAGGAGGAGGAGGAGGCGGAGGAGGAGGAGGAGGAGGCGGAGGAGGAGGAGGAGGAGGCGGAGGAGGAGGAGGAGGAGGAGGAGGAGGAGGAGGAGGAGGAGGAGGTGGAGGAAGAGGACGGAAAAGGAACAGTAGAAGGCATGAGGAGGCAGGAGGAGGAGGAGGAGGAGGCGGAGGAGGAGGAGGAGGAGGAGGAGGAGGAGGAGGAGGAGGAGGAGGAGGAGGTGGGAGGTGGGAGGAGGAGGTGGAAGGAGGAGGTGGAGGAGGAGGTCGAAGGATAGCCAATCGCATAAACATACTTTCGCATGTCTGCGCAGATGTCTTGGATCTGCGCTGGTCCATGACTCTTTGCCGTCCACGGGAGGCGATCCTGGCGTCGACGTCACTATGTTCAAGTTCTCTTCAATCACCCGCCGTGGGCGTTGGCCCTATCCCGGGGCGCTGCAAGTTGCGAAACGGTGCACTCTAGTGCGACGTGTGTAGCCCGTGAGTGTCTCTGGGCTTGCTCCCTCGCTGCTCGAGAAGGCGGCGGCGGGGCCCTGGGCTGTGGAGGAGCCTCCCCCCCTCGCCAGGCGACGCGCCGTCGCCCCAGGTCCGCGCCGAGGCGCGGCGGGCCTTGGCTGCGGAGGCCGCGGAGGCTGCGCCGCCGGGGGGGCTCTTCTCTTCGCAGTCGCAGGGCGGGTCGAGGCGGAAGTTCCGGGGCCGTCGCGGAACTCTGGCGGCCAGGGGCGGACCGGCAGGAGCTCCGGAGCAGCGCTCGCGCACACTCTGTGCATCCCAGCTCGCATTCCCCCTCCCAGGTCTTCGGGGAAGGCGGCTGCCAAGGCGGAGTATTTGGAGCGTGGTATATTCAGGAGATGGGTCCCTATGAGGCCCCGATGTTCGTGAGAGGTGTGCCTACATTGGCGCGGTACCGCCATGCGCCTGCGTCCACTGCGGCAGTAGTTGGGGCTCCCCATTGGGCCACGATCCTCGAGAGTGGTGTGCCGAAATTGGCACGGTGCCGCCACGCGTTTGCGCCCATTGAGACCATAGGCGGAGCCTTCTGTGGGGCCACGATCCTCCTGATGGTCGTGCCGCGATTGGCGTGGTGCCGCCGTGCGTCATGTGACCACTGAGACAGCAGGTGGAGCTCCTTATCGGGCCACGGTCCTCGCGAGGGATGTGACGAAACTGGCGCAATACCGCCATGCGCCTGTGTCCACTGAGACCGTTCGTGGAGCCTTCGATGAGACCACGATCCTCGAGCGTTGTTTGCCAAAACTGGCGAAGTGCCGCCATGCCTTTGCGCTCGCTGAGGCCGTAGGTAGAGCCCTCTATGGGGCAACGATCCTCGGGAGGGGTGTGCCGCAACTGGCGCGGTGCCGCCGTGCGTACTGCGTCCACTGGGAAAGTAGGTGGAGCTCCCCATGGGACCACGATCCTCGTGCGGGGTGAGCCGAAATTGGCACGGTGCTGGCGCGCGTTTGCGCCCACTGAGTTCGTAGGTGGAGCCCTCTGGGGGGGCCACGATCCTGAGGGGATGTGCCGCAACTGGCGTGCTGCCGCCATGCGTCTGCGCCCACTGCGCCCCGTCTGGGGGCACTGAGCTTCGTGCGGAGTGTGCTGCTCTTGGCGTGGTGCCGCCCTGCGCCCTCGCCCACTGAGGCCGTAATCGTAGAGCTCCCTGCGCGGACGACAGGTGAAGTAGGGGGAAGAGGAGGATACGGAATGTTGCGCACGCGCTCCGGACTCGACCACGCGGACCCAATTCAGCCTGTTTTTTTTTCGTCGGCGCCTAGGCAAGGGTCGTCCGCGCTGGCAAATCGAGCTAGCCAAACGGGGGCACCGTTGCAGCGGATTGGCCAGCATGCAAGGGAGGGAACACAGGACAGAGCGGGCGGCCGCGGAGACGAAGCGCTTCCCCGGGTGGGCTGGCGCGGCCGGCCCCGCCGGCGGGGACCGAGGTGGTTGTTGCGCCAGTGTGCTTGCTGAGGCGGGGCCCAGTGCGTGTACTGCACCCAAGTCAGCACAGGAGGGGGCTGGGAGCACAGCACACAGTATTTAAACGCGTGTGTTAGCATGTGTTTCAAGCGCACACATGGACTCATTGAAAGGCGAGTGCCTCTTACACTTTTGCGCAGGCGATTTGGTTATAGTGTGTTTTGAAAACGTCTCGAGACAGAATCTTGAGACAAACATTGGGTCGCTCGACGTGACGTCACGACCTGTGGGAGTGGTGCTTCCGATGATCAGAATGGTGAAAACCTCTCGCGCGAAATGTCTTTTCAAATCCGGACGCGCCGACCCCAATCATCGGTTTAGAGTTCTAGTATTCCCTCGGAGAGGTGCGTATGACAATGATCACAATTGGTCCAGACGCCTGTCACTCCCATCACCAGTGGGCGACACTGGCCCAGAGCATATCAAGCACTGCCGTGTGTCAGCGACCGCGACATGGGTCAACTGCCACATCGGGTCGTTCACTCCCTCACAGCATTTATTAGACTATGGTTGCCAGGGTGCTGTCCCTGGTGAGTGCCTCGGGCAAACGCCAGATGTGAGCTGTAGTTATTCCATCGCGTAACTCTGCCCCGCTTTGGCGAGCGCAAGCGTTTAGGTTGAGCAGATCGGTCAAGAGGTGGCTGTCGAGGGGCGGTGCATATGCATGTCGACGATGGCAGCCAAATCTGTGGAGCATATGAAACAGTTCATCACAGATGTCCGTTACTGCGCCAAGGAATGCGGCGATGGACAGCAGGGTCGGCACGCCCGACTAGTCAGGGCAATGTACTTGGAGATCATGGTCGGGTGTTTGTGCCGCTCTGGTGCCAAAGCGAATGGAATTGATCTACGCTTCACCCGGGGGGGGGGGGGGGCGGAATGAGTTTTTTTGGTGCAGGAGGGCTGATGACAGTGCTTTCTCGAGGCTGGGCTTCCTGAGTATTCTCTCCGATTCTTCGAGGACCTTCCCAGCTGGAGAAGTAATTTAGAGCAATGCATCGCAGTGCAACACTAAATTCAAAGCGAAGAGCCGCAGTGCAAAGGAAGGCAGAGCAAAGCGACGCAATGCTGCTCTATGTGATACGAAGCTATGCTATCCACTGCAGTGCTGGCGCGCTGTGTGGGGCGAGGGTTCCAAGGCGATGCAGCCGGCAAGAGCCAGGGCGGGCATTTCTGTTTGGGCGCGGGACTGCGAGCACCTCCTTGGACGTCGTCCACGGTGGTGGTGTTGCTCTAGGCTCAGAGCTGCACCCGCTGTTCACCCAGGGGGGGGCAGTCCCTGAGGAGGAAAGCAGTCCCCAGACCCCTCCTCTGGACCATTCGAGGCGTGCTCCTTCCCAGATTGGCCTCCGACGGCTCCGGGGGCCCAGAGACGGCGTGCGAGCGCCGAGGAGTGACACGAACACGCCATCGAGTCTCTTGGCATCGCTCGGACGTGTGCATTTTCCCTTCGGCGAGGACCATCGAGGAGCATCCTTGATAAGTTGGCGAAACAACCACGCGCGAAATCTAAAAAAGCACAGGGAATGGACGTCCGAGCGAT